CAGCTCAGGACAGATGTGACCGCTTACCAGCTGCGTGTGCTAAGCACTCTAAGAACCCGGTGTCACTCCTGCCTTTGCACAACGAGGGTTTGTGCAGGGCCAACCCGAAAAATTCCTAGACCGGACCGGAAATTGAACCCATACACCTCCAGCATGGTCTTGCTTTGTAGCTGCGCCTTTACCGACTGAGCTAAGGGAGGCCCGTTTGTGGTACAGTATGAAAATGACAGTCAGTAGAACTTCTTATTATTTGTGAGTAAGATATTTAATATCGTTTATAGATTTGTGAGAGACCATCATGTCGGATTGCGACTGTGACTGTGACTGTGACTGTGACTGTGACTGTGACTGTGACTGTGACTGTGACTGTGACTGTGACTGTGACTGTGACTGTGACTGTGACTGTGACTGTGACTGTGACTGTGACTGTGATTGTGACTCCGGCATCGAGCATCATCTACATACATACATACACAGCACCTGCAGTGTAATAAAAAGTAAAAGGGTCTGTGCCTAGGGGCACGAACGGAAGCTTGACGTAGGACCGCTAGTGTGTTACCGTTTTGGTTCCTGTACCCTATTGGTTCACTTCGAGCGAGAAAAATCAGGAGATAGCGAGAGCGAGGAATAGGGTATATGTGTGTTCATTGTGAATTCAATGTGTATGTCAGTTTCTTGTATGCAATATTGTCTTGTTTTGAATGTAAGTAAATATGTACTCCCAAACCAACGGTCCAATTAAAAATTGTAACCCAGTCACACCAACAATACATAACACATAACACATAACGGGAAGGAGTAAGGATGAAGGTGGGCGTTGGAAACAGGAGAAGGATATGGACAAGGGGTGGTGGAAAAGTGGGAGGGAGGTGGAAATGGGCTTAGGTCAAGGGGGAAGCTACTGGGTTAAACTGAAGAGAAGGTTCTCTTTCACTTCAGCCATTGCGCGAGATAGTTCGATCTGCCAAGTTTGCTTTAAGTTGTGAAAAAAAATAGTGAAGAGTTACCAACAAATACCGGCTAATACCACCGAATACGGAGTCAGGTAGGACCCCATCAATAACCCGGTAGCGGAATTCCCAGCCCTAAGACCACCTCTCATATTCCCTTTAGGACCCATTAATTACGGGCTAAAACCACGAGGGCGTCCGTTAATACGCCAACACCCGTGTAGCAAGCGTCCATCGGTTATATACCGACGACCACTGGGAGACCACCGTCGATCACCCGATCGAGTTCCAGTACAACATCCGTCGTGCCACACGGTGACAACCGTCGAGTACTGGCATCCACCGTGAGCAGTCCGTTCATCCGCCGCCGAAAAACCCCACCCGCTGCAGAATCCCGTCATCGCTGGCCAGCACTACACACACATACACACTACAGACACCTAAATCGTAAGTAATAAAAGAGTAAAAGTGATAAAAAGGTGTTTTGTTCTTTTGATCAGTGCCGACAAGCCAGGAGCCGACCTTGAAGCTCCAGGGTTTCAAGCTCGAGCTAGCCAACAAAAGAGGCGAGTGTAGCCCACCCCAGACGATCTCCGTGGCTAGACCAGAGGTTAGGGGAATCCCTTTTAACTAGCCCATCTGGGTAGCCATTAACAAGTGGACGGAACAAATTTGTTGGTCATTTAAATAGTTCTTAACTCTTTCCGTTTTTGAATTGGGCCGGTTGTTTTACAAATGGTGGCCACACCAGTGCAAGTCGATGTCGACCGGATGTCGACCGGTGACGGCGGCCTAGTCATGCTGCCTATTGCGGGAAGCTTTTCCTCCGGTCGATGTGGGTACTTTTGTCGTCGTCCGTCGTCTTCGAATTGGTGTAATGCGTACTGTTGCTTTCGAGCAAATGACGAAGAAAACGATTTGGCAAGCGTTTTTACTATCACTGTCTGTTTTTTTTTTGCTTAAATATTGTTTATTTCTTTTGAATGTTGATGTTTACAATAGTCTTACAGTTCAAGTGGTTTAGCCTAGTTGCTGTTCATCTTTGATTTTTTCATGTAATTAATTATTTTTAACATTTTCACTTTTATGCTTATGTGTAATTTGTGAGTTCTGTAACCTGTTTTCTATAGGTTTTCTTATAACTAATTTAAAAATAATAACTTAAAATTACTATTTACACATTTTTATGCACATATTTTTTAATATTGATGGAGGAGACCTACTGATGGTAGTGCTAGTATAAGATTTTACCATTCACTCGTGTTAGTGTTACATACATTTATTTGTACAACATCACATTTAAGATAAGACAAATAGGGTTACGGTATGTAATGTGGGTCTAGTCCTTTCATTCGGCCTATCACGCAAATAAATAATTAATTAAGGAATATTACACAAAAAATAAGGAAAATATTGATCACTGATGATTGATAAATGTGTACCACACACAAATCAATTTATATCACAACATTTCAATACATTTTCAGCTCTCGTAAGTAATAAAACTGGTTGAGAATATCACTCTGTTCGGAGTTTTTAGCCGCCATGACTTCTAAGGTTAAGATGGGAAGGTTGCACTGACGATCATCAAATGGCCTGATTATGGCATTTATTGAATGGAATTACCTGATAATACACACTAGACGTAAAACTCACAGTTACTGTTTGAATATTTTATGTTTATTTTAATTGTTTAACAACGTTTTCACAAGTAAATCATGGACCCAACTTTAGGGACACATTTCTTTTCTATGTTCCTAACTTTGGCCCATGAAATTCATTTGACAGCATATAGCAATAAGAGTAACGTCAACAATGTGGTTTGCATTTGGATGATAAGGAACGAACAGGAAGGGAGATTTTTTCTGCCAAATCTGTATAATGAACATCACAATGTTTTGATTTAGATATTCTGCGGTCGAAAGACGATAAGCGAAATTTTTAATTTTTAATTTTTAACTTGAGTGATTTAATGTAGTTTTCGTAAAATTTTCTCTAAGAAATGTTTTGAGGAATGAAGAGTATTAAGTTAACAGTGATAGTGATAAAAAAAAATACATAAGAAAACGTTACCAAGAGCGTTTTTTTTGAGAATCAAACAGGATAGGACGAAGTTGCATCCATAAATAGACCCAATTTGGGGACAATAGACCGATATTACATACATTTCCCTGGTGAGTTTTTGTCTTAAAAAAAGTAAGTTTTTCAACTTTTTGCGGTTCCTGATAGCAAACGACATGATAAGCATATCTAAGCATACCATTTAGCAGTAGAATATCGTTTGCAGGTAAATTAATTGATGAGTTATGATTAAAAACGTAATCTATGGCTGCATATTAGACCGAGGTTAGGGACGTATACCCTATAGTACGGCACAATACTCGGTTTGCGGCTGCCGCTCTCCATCCTTGGTTATGCCCAATGCTCGCTAGATCACGCTCTACCTGGTCCGCCCATCGTGGTCTCTGCGCTCCACGCCTTCTTGTGCCAACCGGATCAGTAGCGAACACCAACTTTGCAGGGTTGTTGTCCGGCATTCTTGCAACATGCCCTGTCCACCACATCCTTCCGGCTTTGGCCAGCTTCTGGATACTGGGTTCGCCGTAGAGTGCAGCGAGCTCGTGGTTCATTCTTTGCCGCCACTCACCGTTCTCCTGCACACTGCCGAAGATCGTCCTTAGCACACGTCGCTCGAAAACTCCAAGTGCTTGCAGGTCCTCCTCGAGCATAGTCCATGTCTCGTGTCCATAGAGGACCACCGGTCTTATTAGCGTTCTGTAAATGGTACATTTGGTGCGGGGGTGAATCTTTTTTGATCGTAGTTTCTTCTGAAACCCGTAGTAGACACGACTTCCACTGATGATGCGCCTTCGTATTTCACGACTTACATTGTTGTCAGCCGTCAGTAAGAATCCAAGGTAAACGAATTCCTCCACTACCTCGAAACTATCCCCGTCTATCGTGACATTACTTCCTAAACGAATCCTGTCATGTTCGGTTCCGCCTACTAGCATGTACTTTGTCTTTGACGCACTCACCACCAGTCCGACCTTTGCTGCTTCGTGTTTCAGGCGGGTGTATAGTTCTGCCACCGTTCCAAATGTTCTTGCGATAATTTCGTCCGTCGTCCGCAAACACACAAATTGACCGGATTTCGTGAAAATCGTACCCCGGCTGTTGAGCCCGGCGCGTCGCATTACACCTTCTAGAGCGATGTTGAATAGTACGCATGAGAGTCCGTCACCTTGGCGCAGTCCCCGGCGAGATTCGAATGAACTGGATAGTTCACCCGAAACCCTTACGTAGTTTTGCACACCGTCCATCGTTGCTTTGATCAGTCTGATCAGCTTCCCAGGAAAGCCGTTCTCGTCCATGATTTTCCATAGCTCTGTGCGGTCGATACTGTCGTATGCCGCCTTAAAGTCGATGAACAAATGATGCGTTGGGACCTGGTATTCACGGCATTTCTGGAGGATTTGCCGTACGGTGAAGATCTGGTCCGTTGTCGATGGGCCGTCGATGAAGCCGGCTTGATAACTTCCCACGAACTCGATCATATTAGGTGATAGACGACGGAAGATGATCTGGGATAGCACTTTATAGGTGGCATTCAAAATGGTGATCGCTCTGAAGCTTTCACATTCCAAATCGTCGCCTTTCTTGTGAATGGGGCAGATTACCCCCTCCTTCCACTCCTCCGGTAGCTGTTCTGTTTCCCAGATCCTGACTATCATCCGGTGCAAGCAGGTGGCCAACTTTTCTGGGCCCATCTTGATGAGTTCCGGTGCGATACCATCCTTACCAGCTGCTTTGTAGTTTTTGAGCTGCTGAATGGCATCCTTAGCTTCCCTCAGCGTGGGAGTTGGGTCAGTTCCATCCTCTGCTGCGCTGACGTAGTCGTTTCCTCCATTGCGCTGGTCTCCCGTGCCTACGCTTTCCTCGCCATTCAGGTGCGCATCGAAGTGCTGCTTCCACCTTTCAATCACCTCACGTCCGTCCGTCAAGAGGCTCCCGTCCTTATCCTTGTACATTTCGGCTCGCGGCTCTTACCGACAAATAATTGTTCCGTTGCAGCTTGCGCACCAGGCCATCATGCCAGACATTGTCGAACGCCTTCCCGACGTCCAACAATGCCATGGCTGATGTTTTGGACACAGCTGTATTCCGCCTGATGGTGTCCGTAACACGAAGCAGCTGGTGGACAGTGAAGTAACCTTTGCGGAAACCGAACTGTTCCTCAAGGAAAATATTGTTGGAGTCTGCGAAGTCCAACAGTCGAGATAAAATTATCTGCTCAAACATCTTCGAGAGAGCAGGGAGGAGACTGATGGGGCGATAGCTTTTAGGTGAAGTGGGATCTTCTGCTGCCTTCAGGGTGGGAGTGAATTTAGCTAGTTTCCAACAATGTGGAAAGTAGCCAAGTTCAAAGCATCGGTTAAAGATGGTTTTTTTTTTCCTTTGATTTGTTTTCCGTCGATCTTGTTTTCCGTGCTGAGCACCAATGCTACCGACGCCGAGAAGGCAGCTCCCACACTTGGACCCTACTTATCGACCCATCAATAGTTTCTTGTTGAAAATCAACAGTCGGAAGCATTGCTATCGAGAACAATGTTCAACGCCACGTGCCGAAAGCACTGCTGCTGCTGCTGATGCCGACGACCAGACACCACCACACACGGTGATTGGAACTGAAACCTATCAGCGGTTGAGGGCAGCCTTGATAGCTAGTTGCTTGCCGTTTGGTGAGACCGGATGGAATTCAACTTTGAAATATGTGTTTGGGAATCGGTGATAATTTTAACTATCACAGAAACCGTTGCACATTTGTGCAATTTTCAATAGTGACATTTTGAAAAATGATTAAAACTGAATTTTAACAGATGCGTAGAAATATTTCTGATCGATTGGTGATAAAATTATTGAAATTGGTCCAGGGGCAGCTAAGTTATTAACGTTCAAAATCTTTCATAATTTTGTTACATATTGCATTTTTGGTTCTCATAAAGTGTACCCCACGTAGAAATCATAGACGTAGTCCTACGTCAAAATGAATATCAAATTTCTCCCACATAAATGTGGGCCAGTCTAGTATTCATTCTTACCTTTTGATTAAATGCAATAAACCTCAAATTTATGCAGTAATTAACCAGAAACACATGCCCTCGCTAGCGTTTCTCTCAACTCATCCATGTTCAGGTCCGAGGGGCCGCTGTCTGTCCACACTAAGATTATTTTACCGAAATCTGTGAAATTTTACCGAAATCTCAACAGCTGAACGTTCGGTGATTTTTCACAGATTTCCTATAATTTTTCACAGATATTCGGTGAAAAATTCCAGGAAATCCGTGAAAAATCACCGAACTGCTTACCGAACGTTCAGCTGTTGAGATTTCGGTAAAATTTCACAGATTTCGGTAAAATAATCTAAGTGTGCTCGGAGTGCTTCAACAAAGAGATCCATAGCAAAAGCTTTCGTCTTCCACCTCCGCTCGCTAGATATCGTCCTCCACATTGCCACAGGATTCCGTTGCCCTACGGTTGTACCTCTCGCACGCTCTCCAGTTCATATTTGCCACCAGCGACGCAGAAAGCGACGTCGATAATAGATTCTCTGCCGTCTCTGTGAAAAGTGTCTTCGTTGGACAACCTAACTTCCAGCTTTGCCAGAGCTTCCAATAGGCTATACCTACTAGATCTACTCCCCCAATCCACTGCCCAAGCATTGAAATCTCCTCCGATAAAGATCCGTCTCCGTCCAATGAGCTCTTCGGTAAGTCTATCCAGATTGGCCTGTATCGTCGCCTGTATACCTTTGCTACGTGGCTATTAAAATTGAGATTTTCAAACCCAACATTCATGAAACGGACGGGAATCAAAGCGCTGTTTCAAACTCCGCACTCATTCAACATTTGAAATTGGTAATATAAGAGTCATGAGCCATCCTTACAATTCAAATCATGTTCAACACCCGTTCAACAATTCCATCATTATCATTGTTCATTGCACGTACACGTAACTTACCACGAATTCAGATCCAATCGATCTAGAAATTCCTCGCAACGTTTACAATCATCTGCTCGAATGCACCTGCATCGGTGCAGTCAGCTTTCTCGGGCCACTCTCGTTACTGCATCATTTTGTCTGTTTTGTTGGCTTTTTGCAGAGCATTTTTCCTCTCCACCTGCACCTCTTCCTGACCGATCTCAAATTGTCATATGAAGACTCTGGATACTACGTGGCAGTTTAGAGGTACCATATTGCACCGTCGTCCATATGGGCAATCCTATGTGGTAGGACGTGAGAAACGATTTATCAGCATAATGCACTACACCGTCGTCGGTCATGTGCGAATCCTGTAAAGAGGATGACCGAGAAAATTGTCCTGAATGCTGTCTTTCCTCTGCTCCCGCACTAGATTTCCATCGGTTCAGCTGAGACGAGTGATTTGATTGCTTTCGTTGGTGATGCAACATGGAAGTACTTCGACGGACAAACGGATGATGGTAGTAAGGGAGGAGATTGTGACCATATTTTCCTAGATACGGATGTAACTTTGATTCGATTTCTGTGTCATTTCACCGACTTTAGTAGCCATTTTTCTGACTTCCCCAGCAAAGAGTATATCGGCAGCATCAATATTTCGTTGACCATTTCCCATTTTAGTTGTACATTTATTTACATACTCTTCAATCCGAATTTTGCCATACGAATTGGAATTGGTCATTCTGTAACATAGATATGCTTCTAACTGAGATTGGATCTGAGGGGTGAAGAGTCACTTGATTCGATTGAAATTTGAAGATTTCACAGTGATGCTTTTGGCTTTTCAAATTTACTCGGTCGGACTACTCAAGACGTGTTCCGAGCCGATCAACTACTTAATACTGGATAGTTAATAGTAGCAGAAGCCCATCCCATAACCATGTAGGAGAAAGTTGGTAAAGATGGACACAGAAGAAAAAATGGACACTTACTGTTTTAAATCCAAAAAAATCGGTTTTAGAATACATTTAGAAATACACCTACTAAATGAAGTGTTTTAGATGTTGTCTAAAACTATATTTTGATTAAAAGCAGCAGGTATCCATCTTCCATGTTATGTCCGTCTTTACCGGTTTTTCCCTACATCAATGAGCTGGTGGATAAAGAGTGACCCACATCAAATTGCATCACGGAAAAAACGCTTAGAAAATTACCTAGTTGACTGATCCTTTTCAAACTTTCAGACAATTAAATATAACCCCGTAGTAAGCTTTTGGCATATTTATTTCATTCAACTTCAATACAAGAACCATACGCTCGCACCTTACGCGTAACTCCACTCATTAGGTTCTGTACAACATCTGGTTGCAGCTTCTTCTGTACGGAAACCCAATTTTTTCTTCATGTCTTCCTCAGATTTGACCTCTTTGAGATGCTTCCATAGTGCCTGCTTCATAATAGCCCAGTATTTTTCGATGGGCCTTAGTTCCGGTGGTCCTTGGGTACGAAAGTGACCCTGTTGGCTTCGTACCACTCCAGGACAACATTTGAATAGAAGCTAGATCCGGCCAGAAGATCGTAGGACCCTCGTGTTGCTTCAACAGAGGAAGCAAACGCTTCTGTAGACACTCCTTGAGGTAGATCTCCCTGTTTACAGTCCTGGTAGTCACGAGCGGCGCATTCCGTTTGCCACATGAGCAAATCGCTTGCCAAATCATGTATTTCTTGGCAAACTTTGAAAATTTCTGCTTCCTTACTTCCTCCGGAACATCAAACTTGTGCAGGGCGGTGAAGAACAGTAGCCCCGGATGCTGCCGGAAGTCCGCCTTAACGTAAGTCTCATCATTCATTATGAGACAATGAGGCTTCGTCAGCATCTGGGTGTACAGTTTCCGGGCTTGTGACTTTCCCACAGTATTTTACCGTTCGTCACTATTTGAAGCCTTCTGCACTTTGTACGTATGCAGTCCCTCCCGGTCCTTGGCTCTCTGAACGAAAGACTTGGACAGATTCAACTTTTTGACCACATCCCTGACCGAAGCATTGGGATTCCGCTTAATCACTTGCATGACACGCTTGTGATCCTTATCACTAATAATAGAACATCCATTCTGACCGCATTTCTCCTTCCGTTCGATGCTCAGAGTTTCGTAGTAACGTTTAATCACACGACTCACGGTTGACTGCACGATTCCGAGTTGTTTTCCGATGTCCCGATGAGAGAGTTGAGGATTTTCCAGGTGCTTGCGCAAAATTAATTCGCGACGTTGCTTTTTGGGGTGATGTTATTTTTTTCCAACTTTCGAAAAACATGACAGCGATAAAAATACATGTAAATAATACACTCTAAACTACTACTACCCAAAATTTCAAGAGAGAATACCATAGAGGTAACTGTAAGACAAGAAAGTCCCGAAGAAACGTGCTCAACTTTTTGGCTCAGCTCTGGTACTCTCTTCGGTCCCAAGCTAATCGATGCACCTCTCGAAACATAGGAAAATCCACGAACCCCTCATTTTATCTGTCAAACTTTCATAGCGAATCTTAACAAACATAGTGTAGTAATAGAATTTCGACTATAATGGGGCATGTTAATCGAATTGCTTGGGACCAAAAGGCTAGTCAAGTAGTGAGCCAATTTAAAATCGTTAGTTTCCACCGGTTGATAATTCCCAATGGATAATTTTCTACAGCGTTTTGTCCGTGATGCAATTTGATGTGGGACACCCTTCATGCTATTTCTGCATTTTGGTCGGATGTAATAAATTTTAGAGATGATTTTGTTCTTATAAATTTGGAGGCAATAGCATGGCTTTACACATGTTTGTATTTAGATTGGAACAACACCCAATGAGCGGAAATTAGGTCAATCCTGGAATTTCAAACGCATCACCTGGAAATGGTTTTTTGGGGGTCAGAAAAACGCCAATTTGAATCCATTTGGTCCATGGAAAGGAATCTCACAAAGAACTTGTCGTTTGTCTTGGAAAAATCGTCAAAATATATGGAGGAATGAGCCTCTTTCACATTGTTGGCTCTAGGTGGCACTTTAGGTATTGGATTTTCTTGGTGTGAAGAACCTTTGGGGCATGGGGAGCAACTATTGTGAAAAACGGAAGAAATACCGAGTGCTACCTGGTGTTTATTCACGATTC